TGGAATTTTAAAATCTGAAAGTGATAAAATTACTTTCGAAAAAACGCTTCGATGCAAATTCGGCCGTGCACAGTAAAAACCAGCAAAGTTTGAAAGTATTAAATTGAGGTGTTGTATATGAATTTAGTTCATTACAGAGCTATTTTTTTCATCTTTGTATCGTTGAAACTTATTGAGTTATGATGGAAAGTCTTATACATTTTGCTGAATATTGTATTCTTGACTTGTGGCTGACCAAGTATTTTTTAAAATTATTTTAAAATCTCGGTTGTACACGCAATTAGATCTATTTCTGTGAGGTATCATTTGGTACACTTCAACCCAAATATCGAACAAAACCAAAATTTATAATACAATTTTTTCCAAAATGTGTATTGTGTAAAACGATGATTAAGAATAAATAAAAAAATAACTAGCAATAAAAAATCCTTATTATTTTTTTTAACACCATAACTTTTGACTCATTAGGCTCAAGCCTTTTTAGCTTAAGCTTAAATTTTAGAAATTAATAGAAAGACTTACTTAAATTGAGGAGTTGGTTCTTGGACAACAGTCGACTTGTTGAGCTTTTGAGACTTAATGTACTTTTTGCGACTTATGTATGGGCTTTTACTTCGACCGAAAAATCAAAATCCAATTTTTTTTTTTGCAGTGTAAATATTTTGTTAATCGGTTCATTTTTTTTTTTATGATTTATCGTGTACAAACATTACTTAGAAAGCGGAGTTAGGACTATGTTTTTCTACGCAATACACTTAAATAAGAAAAATATTTTATTGGATGGAATAGTATTTTTTAAAATTGTATTATGGTTTTACAAAAAATGTTTTAACAGTTACAAATATTGAAATTTGAAACAACTCTAACGGTATTGAAATTCGAATAGCGTACGTTATATTATTATGAGTTATAACTAATTAAAATTGACCAATCATATTTAACAGTAATTTATATAAAGTGCCTTATCCTGATTAGGCTTAATCCAAAAAAATGACCGGACCTTTGAGTCGTTAAACGATCCAGAATTAGTTAGAAACGCTTCACCTACCCTTCGGTAGTCCCGACGTAGAGCCCTTTAACAAGTGGCCTTCTGACAGGTAACTTCTTCTTGTGACACACCTTCTCCGGCCCGCAGTTAGCGCCCAGTGCTACTAGTCGGTCCGCAGTCGTAGGGGATCCCTTCGGGGCTAACCACTAAAGCCAAGGAACATGTTATTATCAGCTAATAATATATTTTTTATCTTCGATGCGAAACTGTAAAGCAGTTAGTTTTAAGGATATTATTTTCATTCGCATTTATACAAATTTAAATATGTATCTTACTTTCACAACACAACTTTTTATTTATTTAATGTTATCAATCATTTGATGAGTTTTAAAAAGTGGTTAGATCTTAGTCCTGCACAAATTTAGATAAATATAAACACATAATTACATAAACAGCACATATCAGCTGCACATCGAAGATAAAAAAATGTTTTGGCAATGACCAATGAGGCGACAATTGTTAGTGCATTTACAAGGTAAACTATTATTATAGTTGAATTAAACATGTTTGTTTTAGGTTACATAAACTTTTAAAACATCATAGCAGTAAAAAAAACTTGACCTTTGAAAAATGCGCTAAACAAAGGAAAGCCGCAATAATGGTTAAGCAAATGAAGAAATAGAACTGTGGGAAGAGATAAAAAAGGAATACCCATAGTGAAGAGTCGGTTCTGATATTAACCTAATCACAATAACATAATATAATTTTCAATATAATATAGTTTGTTAATAATGATTTTTATTTTTATACAATGCGTGTTACGACTTTGATGACTCCAAAATCGCTGTTTATTTTCAAATAAACATACATTACTAAATTACTTACATAGTTACATTATGTGTAATATTTTTTTTAACCCTGCATCAGTCGCGTGGTTAAACATTTTAATAATAATTGTTTTTTTTTTGTATTTAGATCAATTTTAACGAGTAGAACGACTGATTGGCGAGTCCTAGCGGAGGATAGAGAGAGATGGCATGGCATATGTTTGTCAGTGTGGTCTTAAAGGCCGTCAACTACGAAGAAGAAGAAGAATCAAAGTACTATTCTTTTAGTCAAAAATCCGGAGTTTCATCGAAGAACCAAGCACATCAATATACGACACCATTTCATTCGTGAAAAATATGAGGAAGGTCAATTCGAAGTTCGATACAAGAACACAGAAGAAATGTTGGCAGATATCTTTACAAAAGCAATTCCAAAAGACAGATTTGGGATGATTCGGTCAATCATTGGAGTACAGGAGATATCACAGTAGAAATAGTTAATTTAAGGGAATATTATTTAAGGGGGTGTATTGAATATAATTAATATTGTGTATTTGGGTCATGGAATATAAGTATGTTATAAGTAATAAACATAGTAAAACCTTATATGGTAGTATATGCAAACATTATAGAAATTATTATGTAATATTCAAAAGTTGTTTGATACAAGGATTAATTTCATTTGTAACCTAGATTATATCCATAATTATTTAAGCCATAATATTAAAGTGATGGATTATCACTCTAATACGGCTGCTGTTATAACTGTAACGTACGTTGTATATACTATTCTTTATTTTTATACTGTGTGTTTTTATGTTTAATAGTATTGTGTTCAATCATATTATTGTTGTGTTTTATTTCTACTTAAATACTAACTTCCACCAAGGTATACAAACGTATTTCGCAATATTTACAAGATATTTACGACTTTTTTTTCAACGTGTTCAGAATTTTTTTAACCAGGGGCCCAAATTTGGGTTTCCAATTGAAAATGTGTTAGATTTTATTTTATACATTGAACTTTCGTTGTATAAAATGCGCTAGTACATTATTTAACATAAGTTCCCAGATTTTGTATACTATTCAATGAGTTGGACGTAAAAGACTTTGAATTTACTGTGTGCAAAAACACAATACATTTTCAATGTGTTTAGTGTCTTATTTTTTTAGTTTCATAGCGATGTAAGTAACAAAATATAACTTGTAGCCGACTAAAAAAAACACTATACTAAATCAATACACATCCACCCAAATACATTGGGAATTTAGCACACAATAATGCGTTTTGAAAATTTAAATAATTTGAAATAGACATTCTTTTTGATTCAAAATATTATGTAGGATTAGTTTTCGTATCCTGCATTGTTCTTATTTCAATCATAATTAAGCCAATCCAATACCATTGCGGTTGACCAGCGAGGATTTTTTTTTCCACAACTGGCTATACAATATAAATAATACATTCTACACTGTTTTACTTAGGCACTCAACATTAGAACTCAATTTAGATAATGCTACCTCTAACATCCAATCGCTATATAATAACCATTAAGATGAATTATCTATTAGAAATACAATGGATGAACCTGTCACCCAAATTTGCACAATCATTTATAAAAGGTAGAAATATAAGGAAAGGATTTAGAAGCAATAATAGTTGGAATAGATTAGATAAAAAAATACAACTTTACTTATTCGGTAATTATTTTTTTTATTGGTAGACATGGCGCAAAACAGAATGAGGCATACAATATTATGTACTTAAAAATATATAATGTGGAATACGTTATTGAAAAAATCCACCAACAGTTTTTTCCGTCAGCTTAATTATATGTATATATTTTAGATATTATAATGAAAAAGTGACAATGATATGGTAAATAATATAATTATTATATAATAAAATAAAAGAATATAGATGCCAGTTTTTTCCTAACATTAGGTTAGGGTGTGGCCTGCGTGGGTGGATCTTGTGGATGTCCAAGTTGTAACAGTCGCACGAGTGATTCTCCTGGTTGGCCATCTGAGTTTATTTCTGACCATATGTCACCGATTTTCCCGTACCTCTTTTGGTCATTATTTTTCTCAATGAAGATACATGTATCGCTAGTTGAGTCAATAATAACTTCTTTTATGTAAGATTGTGGAGATTGGGTACTCAAGTATAATCCTAGATAATAACACTTCTGTGATAAAGAGGCCTCATCATCATCAGATTCACCTAAAAAATTTGAATTTTTTTTTTTAATATGCTTATATTAGTTTATTAGTTAACTACTTTTCGTTATGGTGCAGGACAAAACTATTTTATTTGTAAATACGAAGACATATAAAAATAATACACTAAGCATATAGTGTCCGTATTGTATTGCCATGATATTTGTATAAAATGAAAGTACGTGTTAGTAGTTTTAATTGATTTGGTTAATAGTTAAACATTAAAATCAGTTGTATACTTGTTCCTATTAAACAACTTAAATATATATATATATATATATATATAAATATATTAAAAGCGTTCCTAAACCAAACAAATCCAAAATAAAATTTACCTAATATGCGACGTCTGATAATACCATTTAAAGCTGAAGCAACACGTTCTCTTCTCTCGTTTGCAATTTCTTCCAATGTTCCACAATCTATAAAATTAATTATTAAATGACCGTGTGGCGAAGAAATAATAATAATTATAATACAAAAATATTAGTCGCTCTTCATACATAATTATTGTATTACATTTCAAAGAATTATGTTATGAAAAAACTTTTTGTACAACCACTTATTAGTGTTGAAACTCAACAAATGTGTTCTTTTTATTGAAGTCCCTAAGAATTTATTACACATAAATACTGTAAGTCACACTCAACAGAAAGTTAAATTTATTAAAGTTAAATTTTCAACTCTAAAACAAGCTTTTAAGGTTATATATGAATATCAAACAAATGGTAGTTACCAGTAGTATAAGTCATACCCTCACTATATCCTACAACCAAGTCATTAAACATCAAATCATTATGCAGTTTATAAAACTCGGTTAATATATTTTATACATAACATTCACTTTATAACTGAGGTTAATTAAATCAATATTAATAAATGCAAAATGGTATTGTATAAATTTAAATTTATATCATAAATCAATGTTTAAATTTTATTTCGAATGATTCTTTAAAGCTTAACAATAAAGCATGTATAGCTTGGTGACTTGATATTATTAATCCAGTTTTTCTTTAAAACTACAAAAATATTTTACTCATTTTTTTTTATATTTACCTCTTATTTTATTTATGAAATGTGTCATGAGATTGAGAAAATAATTGGCTTCTAAAATTAAAAACAAAATATATAATATAGGTACTTATATATTTTTTATGATTGAAACCGTGTGTCATATTGGTATATTTTGTCAATAGGTACATATGATTAGTCTCAAAGTATTTGTAAATAAAAAATATGAAATATTAAAAGGGGTTTTTACTTTGCGTTGGGTCATGAGTGATATCTGCATAAATATTCATTCGTCCTGGATCTAAAACAAAATCTTGTTTGCATAAAGAATATCAAACAACTGTTGCATAACATAGAGAAAATATATATTGGCTTCTAAAATAAAAAACAAAATATATAATAAAGGTACTTATATATTTTTTATGATTGAAACCGTGTGTCATATTGGTATATTTTGTCAAAAGGTACATATGATTAGTCTCAAAGTATTTGTAAATAATAAATATGAAATATTAAGAAGGGGTTTTTACTTTCCGCTGGCTCCTCTATTAATGTGTAAGCTGGAACTAAAACAAAAATCGTGTGTACATAAAGAATATCAAACAACTGTGCGAAAAAGCTCCTATAAAATGCAATGAAAATTATTACTCCCTGTATTGGATAAAATATCTTTTTCGTCTGAAATAAACAACACATAAACCAATGATATTGTATTTCATTTTCTTTTTTATTATGAACAGGAAGACAAATTTCAAGGTAGAGAAAACGTGTTTATTAAAACTCAAAAGAAATATGCTCCACTGTATATTCAATACGATGAGAGACTATTTGGAAAATTCAATAGAAATGAAATATTGGAAATATTTTTATAAAATTTAACAAAAACTATTACCCGGTACAGCCATAAGAAAATTAGTAATGCCTGAAATTTACATTACATAAATTTATGATACGGGATTTCTATAATCAATTATTACATTATACAATTATAAATTAGAAGACGAAGGTCAAAGTAGAAAAAAATTATAATAAATAGACTAGGGAACCCTCAAGAAATGTAATGGTTGAGTTGTTGCAGTATTTTTTCATAAAGCTACTATTTAGATTTCGATGAAAAATATAATAATTATAACACTCGTCATTTACATAAAGATAAACGTGAGATGCAGTTTTAATATTATTATTTTCAAGTAATTTTTTTCTACTCTTGCCTTGATGTTTTGTATTATTATTATAAATATGATTACAGAAATCAAATAAAACATTTTCAGTGTCGATGGAATCATCAACCATTGTCTCAATAGCATACTGCAAACCACCTAGAATAAACAAATGAAGATTTAGGCTATACTAAAATAATAAAATCAAATCAAATTAGGTACAATACAAATGTTTAGAATAATATTAAACCCGACTTTGAGCAGTAGTCATTTAAGTTCACTTTTTTCCCTCGATTAGATTATTAAAAATCGCTAATGTATATTACAATATATTGCTCTGTACACTGTTCTACATATCTGATACATCTTTCTTAACTATTAATAAAAACTAAAATGTTTATTTAATTATAACTCGACAGTTAGATACAAATAACAATGCTTCTATATATATATTAGTATATTATTATAAATATAATATCTTACTTTTTACAGCTCTAAAAGAATGAAAGGTCCTAAGTGAAAGAGCTTTGATGACTGCAGCTGAGTTGTATAATTAAAAAAAAAATTGAATAAAAACAGTATATTTTCAAAACTTAAAAATCATATTTTGTTTATAATATAAAATTATTACTGACTTGTAGTCAAAACTTTATCCATATAATCCGACTCTGTAAAAAAGTGAAATATTAAATTTTTTCAAATTTTTACTACCTCAAGATGATAACTGTGAAAATAAAATATTACGATCATCTGCCAAAATACTCGCATGAAATAGAAAAGATATTAATAAACTACTGAAGAGCTTCATTATTATCTGCGAATAATAATAATTAAAACATTTTATATTAGTCATAGTTGCCTTTTGTGCTGATATGAGAAGGTTAGGTTAGGTATGATTTTGCAAGGCAGTTTTAATATGGTAAACATATATATATATACATTTTTTTATCACATCCACAAAATTTCCTTGACCGTTAAACGGGTTTTTATGTAAAGGAAGGTGGAAATCTACCTGGAAAAGTACCTTATTTGGCCAAAATTACAGTTATTTCACCATATTGAGGATATACGAAGTAAAAACAGGTCTGTTAACAATTTTAGTTGCATTGTATGAAGAAGTTAGGTTACACTATTCAAAATAGAAATTAGAAAAATTAGTATATAACTTAATGTTGTTATTAAAATTCGATGAAAATCGGTAGTTAGTATTTTCAAGCCGGTACAGTCTAAACCAAGCACAGTATAAACCAGCAAAGTTAGAAAGTATTAAATTGAGGTGTTGTATTTACAAATAAGCATCAAAGCGTTAATTTAAAAGTGATTTTATCCGAGAGGACTAGTACAGTAGAGTATAGGCATAATGGAATCAAAGCGACCAGGGGACGGAGAGGTCAGGTCTACATGAATTATTTTAAATAAGAGTGATAAAATTAAATAAAAGCTTTAAATATTAGTAAAACGTGTTTTAGTTACAATGGAATTTCTTAATCATTTTGCTTCTTTGACTTGGGCCGGACAAAACATTTTTAACAGATATTTTCATCTTGGTTGTACATTCAAAAAGATCTACTTTTGTGAGGTATTGTGATAACGATTTAGAAAACTGCAAAAATTCAATTTTATAAATCGTTTTCATAATTGATCACAAAAGTAGCGTCTTGATAATAAAGTACAAACATTTTCTGTCCAAGTCAAAAAAGGAATATTTAGCCAAATTATTTAAATTATTTAGATTTTCCATTATAACTCATAAATAAAATCTTGTTTTTGGAGGTTATAAATTTCTTTCTAAAAAACCTGTACAAATTTGTTTCTAGCGTTTTGTTTTAAAATCGTCAAAAATAAAAAATATTTTTTTGTTGTTTTATAATGAATTATTTTTAGGAATTTAGTTCCCTACAGAGCTATTTTTTTCATCTTTGTTCTGTCGAAACTTTTTTTGATTTAATGGAAAGTCTTAACTATTTTGCTGAATATTGCATTTTTGACTTAGGGCTGACCAAATATTTTTAAAATTTTTTTTAAATCTCGGTTGTACACTTAATGAAATCTACTTTTGTGAGGTATCATTTAGTACACCTCAAGCCAAATATCAAACAAAACCAAAATTTAAAAGAAAATTCTCTCCAAAATGTGGATTGTGTAAAACGATGGTTAAGAATCGATAAAAAAATAACTAGTTATAAAAACCCTTCTAATTTTTTTTTAACACTTTAACTTTTGATTCTTTAGGTTCATGCCTTTTTAGCGTTATTGAAATATTTAGAGTTTTATAGAAATTCTTACTTGTGGAAATTGGTAAGAGATTCTTGAACAACAATTGACTGGACCAGCTTTTGAAACTAAATGTACTGCTTGCGACTTATGTATGGGTTTTTATATCGCCCAAAATATCACAAGCCAATTTTTTTTTTTCAGTGTAAATATTGTGTTCATTTATTTACACAGTGGGTTCATTTTTTTTTTTTTATTATTTATCGTGTACAAACATTACTTAGAAAGCGGTGTTTGGACTATGTTTTTCTACGCAATACACTTAAATAAGAAAAATATTTTATTGGATGGAATAGTATTTTTTAAAAATTGTATTATGGTTTAACAAAAACTGTTTCAACGGTTACAAATATTGAAATTTAAAACAACTCTAACGGTATTGAAATTCGAATAACGTACATTATATTATGACTAGATAACAATATACCGTCGACGGTATGTGGAAGTCAGTACACAGCGGTTCCTACGGGGGTGCCCGGCTACGCCACCCACGGTGTCAATCCACCTGAATATGTCTTAATGTAATGTTGCTATAATCCATGGTACCAAGTCTAGCTATCTTTGAGATCAAAAATAAAAAGTAATTAAATTGAAGAATGCGTGATGCGGACATAAATTTCTATTTCTACGTACTTAAAAATTCGTTAATAAATATATAATAAAATTCGTACTAATTGTATGCAATAATTATAGGCTAATTTTAAATATATTGTTGTCTTTACAGTTCTTTTACCAATACATATATTTTATATTTTTACTATGTAAAAAACACTATCGGTGACAATGTCACCTAAACAATTTTATGAGTTTCCAATGAAAATGATTTAATCGAATTCGAGAAAAATCTTCGAATCGAGTTTTGAAATTTATAAAGAATATTTACTTGATTTTTCCATACACGCCATTAGTCTCAAATTTAAATAATCCCCATTTGACAGCCCCCCACGGGGATGCCAGTTTTTTGGGTTTTTAGTCGTAGTTGTAGGAACTTTTATTTGAAAAAACTTGTCAAAAGTCGGAACTCATAATATGTATCCATATTAGACGAAGTAATGATTCGGGGTACAGTCTTTTAAATTGTCGGAAAACTGTATTTTCGTTAAATCTAAAAAAAAATTATCAAATTATGCCAATATTTTTACGGATACTATTTAGAGTGATTTCAGTAATTTTTTGTGCTCAAGTTCCAGTTTTAGGTTTTAATTACATTTTTCAAAAGTAATTTTATCACATTTAGCCAGCTCGGTCAACTCAAGTCCCAACCCCAATTGTAATGGCTTTTTCCTTTGTGAACATCCGTCGATAGTCATACTAAAGGTTAGGTTACTATTTGTTTTACAGACTATTAAAGACAGTAGTTTAAAAAATATCTATGCACGCAAATCATATGTGAATCGTAAATCCGATTCGATAACATGCTTGATAAGACCTTCGAATTTTCAATGTAAAAGTTGCACTAAGATGTGCACAAAATAAAGAGAAATTTGAAATTCGAAAATTGAATATTTTATACATTGTTTTGTCATTACATCGACGTAATTTTCGGCTTAAAAAGTATCAATATATCTTGTCGATGGCAAAAAAAAATGTACTTAGACATTCTCATGTGTGAACAAGTGCCGAAATTGTATGCTTTTCGAAAATATTTTCAATTAATCATAACCTTAGCATTTTCAATATAAAGTCTTATAACAAAAATTGCACGTGGAAAACCCCGAAATTTAGAAAACTTCCCCTCCCCTCGGGAGAAAGGCTAAAAGTTTTGTCTAAAGATATGTCTAACAAACGCCATATAACATGTGTAGAAAAAAAATATCGATCCCTAAGTCTAATCAGTTGATGAAAACGAAACCGTAAATTTGAGAGAGACAGCAAACCAGTCGGGCCTTAACACGTGCACGATTTTTTTCAAAGGGATGGGGGGATGGAGATGGTGATGGAGTTGGAGTTTGATAATAAAATATAATAATAATAATAATAATATAAACTAATAATTTGTATAATTTGTGAGTACAATGTTTCAATTGTATTTCTTAACCCGTGCGAAGCAGGGTACACGGGCAGCTAGTATATAATAATTATATTTTGTTTTAAGTTTTGTAAAAGGAAAACGGATACAACCGCTTTTAATTTTTAACAATTAACCAAATAAATTATTATAACTACTAACGCATACTATCATGTAATACAAATAACATATCTATAAAATACGGACACTATGCTTAGTGTATTATTTTTTATGACTTCGTAATAACCAATAAAATAGCTGTGTCTTGCACTACAAAGAAAAATGTGAAAACTATAGTAAGATAATACTAGCAATTATAAGACATTTTATTCAATTTTTTTAAATGGTTCTGTGCAGCATGAAGATTATGATACTGCATTATTACCTATTATTACTTTCTTGTAATATAGACTGACTGGTTTCAACACGCCATCACCCTTAAAACAAATTAACAGGTTTCTACTCGATGAAGTTTAAACTTGTTTTTCCAATCAGGTTCCAAACCATTGAATTCTATATTTTTACATTATAATATAATAATTATACGCAGCTCCCGACGAGTTGGATTTTGTATGTCAGAGTACGAGCACCTTTACGCCAGTCTGTGTAATAACTATATTGAACATTTACTAAGTATTAATAAATATAATATTATAGTGTTTTACTTTGGAGTTTGAAATTATTTCAAAACACCCTTATTTCGACATCGCCTGCTACACTATTTTAGGCTCAAAAATATGTGAAAAAATAAAATTGCTCAAAAGAACAACCTTAATAAACAAAGAAAACAATTTTATTAAAAATAATACAGATGTATTTTCCAGGGGGTTAGGTTTATTCCCCAAAAAATGTAAGTTGGTTTTAATAAAAAATAGAAGTCATATAATATATACAGCTTGACGAGTGTCACTATCTATAAAATACGAGAGAAAACAAAAATTGTGCTACGAACTATTTGTAAAGTCACATAATATTATGTTTCCAACCACTCTAATCACAAAGATCTAAAAAATATCTACTGTGGCTGAAAATGCCAATCTACACTAGAAATGCTTTGGAAACCAAACAAGCCATCATCCTAATCCTCTCATTTCCAAACTCTCATCAACTATTCTTGGCAAACCACGAAAAAGATTAAGGAATTGGTGGTGTCGATACTTGCTAGTTCAATAGAAAAAAACCAGCACAGTCTGATCCAACAACTAGGGAAGAAGTGGTATGATATTTTGTATTTAGATAGTATGTAATCCATTGCTTTTAGAATTATGGAAAAAAATGAATTATTCTTGTTAAGGCTTCAATATTTGGACATTTTTAGACGCACCTGAACTGAGCATACCCACATTGTTTGACCTTATCGAAATACTATCAAAAGTTTCAAGTAATTTTTAAGAGTTTGCAACTCTATTTTCAAAGTTTGCAAGCAAATATTACACAAGATATGAATAATTTTATAAAAGGTTGGCCAACTTCTTGTACCCCTGTAGCTCGCTATGATTGTGATCTGTTAGGTA